ATGCCTTGTGCTGGATATGACTATTTTCCTTTTGAAAAATAGTGGTATGTATCATTCTGAGTCCAAGGGCCTGAGAAGCAGGGGACCTAATGGTGTAAATTCTGAGGGTAGGAGAAGATGAGATGAGATGTCCCAGCTAAAGGAGTGATGCAAGGAGAAAAAAGATGGAGTTGCAAATTCCTCCTTCCTCCACTTTTTGTTCTATTCAGGCCCTCAGTGGATTGGATGAGGCTGGCCCATATTGGGGAGGGCTGCCTACTTTGCTGAGTCCACTGATTCAAATGCTAATCTCATCTGGAAACAGCTTCACAGACACACTCAGAAATAATGTTTAATCTGGGTGCCCTGTGGCCCATTTAAGTTGATGCATAAAATTAACCATCACAGATTGCTAAGGACTTGAAAGAAATAGATTTGGAAAATGGGCGACAAGGATGTCTGGGGAAGAGGTCTGTGATGGACCTCTTGGAATGGTCAGATTATAAAGATGTTTGTGTCCCATCCACCCATTTGGTACCCCCCAAATGAGGACCAAAGGCATTCACTGAAGAGAAGCTCTCAGTAATTAGGTGGACAAATCATGTACTCTGTGGATATCATTCTCTCTTCCTGGCCACTCCAGTGCTTGCTCAATGGACCCATGAAAAGAGAGGCCATGGTGGTAGGATTAGAGGCTATGCATTGGTTTGACAGCGTGGATTTGCTCTTACCAAGGCTGACCTGGCAAACACCACTGCTGAGAGCCTACTGAGTTAGCAACAGAGGCCAATACCGATCCCCTAATATGGTCCCATTCACTGGGGGAACCAACCAGCCACCTGGTGGCAGGCTGATTACATTGGACCTCTTCCATCTTGGAGAGGACAGAGATTTGTCCTCATTGGAACTGGCACGTTCTGGACCTGGATACACCTTCCCTGCCCCACAATGCCTCTGCCAGTAGCACTATCTATGGACTCATAGAACCCCTTACACCCCATCATGGTATCTCCCACAGCACTATTTCTGATCAGTGATTTCCATAGCATTGCTTCTTTTATAGCAAAGGGAATGCAGCAGTGGGCTCTTGGCCATGGAATTAACTGGTCTTCTCCTATACTCCATCAACTAGAAGCAATTGGACAAATTTTGAAAGCTCACTAATGTAATAGAATGGCTCACTGAACACTCTTTTGTGTCAGTTGAGAGTCATACCCTGAAAGGAATGGGTGCTATATTAAAGAATACCAGGGGGTGCCTGGGTGGCTCAGTCAGTTAAGTGTCTGCCTTTAGTTCAGGTCACGATCTCAGGGTCCTGGGATCGAGTCCTGTGTTGGGCTCCCTGCTCAGCAGGGAGTCTGCGTCTCCCTCTCACTCTCCCTCTGTGCTCTCTCTCTCTCTCAAATAAGTAAATAAAATCATAAAAAAAAAAAAAAGAATACCAGATGTGCTTTGAAACAGAATAATCCAGGATGCTGTTTCCCCACAGTCAGAACATACGGGTCTTGGAATCAAGGAGTGGAAGTGGCTCATTCACTTGTAAGCCCAATCATTCATTGATAGAATTTTTGCTTCCCACCCTGGCTACCTTGCGCTCTGCTTGTATGGAATTCTTAGTCCCCGAAGAGAAGATGCTCACCAGAGGACACCCTCATGGCCCGAGGTAAATCACCCCAGTCAGTGCGGCACTCTGCCTGACCTGACAGAGGAGAAGAGAAGCATGACTGACGTTTCTGTGAAGAATCCAGGAGAATGACAATCTCTCAAAGGTGCTCGTTTTTGGAAAATACATTCTGGGTAGGACTGGAAGAGTTTGGATTCTGTCAAGTTTATAAAAGAAGAGAGAAATCAGCCATGCATACAGATTTTTTTTATTTGCTTGTCTGATTGGAAAGAAAAGTCAGGGTTTTATGATCTGTTGAGTGGACAAATCTTTCCTGGGCTTCTGAGATGCTTGAAGATGCAAATGAAAAGCTTGCTTACCATCTTGTCTGTTTAAGTTACAGCATAAGACTAACACAGAGCAGGGTTGCTGGTTAATACAAAATTAATGTTAGTCCAATGACATACTGCTTTAGTGATCCTTGGTGATTATGCTAAGGTTATTACTATGCATATATTCACTTCTAGATGAACGGTCCACTTGCACCTTTAAAACATTGCCTATTTTGTTCATATTCTCATGTTGTAGTTAAACGCACATACTCCAGAGTCTGATGCTGGGGTTTGAATCCCGGCTCAGTCACTTTCCAGCTCTGTGATCTTGGGTAGTCAATTAATCTCTCTGTGCCTAAGTTTCCTTATCTACAAAATGAGGATGATGGCGTATGTACTTAAGAGTGTTGTTTGAAGGATTAATTAAGGTAACACATTCAAAGTCCTTACAGTAGTGCTTGGCCCACAGTAAGCAATGAATACAAGCTAGCAATTGTTAATACAATTTGGCAATGCTTGCTCAAAGTCTGCTTGCCAGGAATACAAACCATTTTATATCCCCTCTCTCTGTGGCAAACCTGCAGAATGCCTGTTAATATCTGTAATGGACGAAATTGTATCTCCTTCCCTCCCCCCAACGAATTCACAAGTTGAATCCCTGACCCCCAATGAGACTGTATTTGGAGATGAAGACTTTAGGAAAGTAATTACTTCCTTAGGTCACATGGGTGGGACTCTAATCTTGTCCTTATACAAGAAGGAAGAGACATCAGAGATCTCTCTCTCCATGCAGGAAAGGAAAGGCCATGTGAAGACACAGAGGGGAGGCAGCTGTCTACAAGCCTGGAAGAGAGCCCTCCCCAGAAACCAACCCTGATGACGTCTTGATTTTGGACTTCTGGCCTCTAGAACTGTAATAAGAGAAATGTCCGTTGTTTAAGCCACCTAATCTGTGTATTTTGTCATGGCAGCCCTAGCAGACTAAGACCATGACATGATAAAGTTTCCTAATTTACATGTTCAGTGAGAGACAAGCGAGCAGTGCTGACACATGGTGTCGGAGGTCATCCTTGAACACCATTTACCCATCGTGTGAAAGTCTGGTATCTACCATGGGGCGTGTGTGTATGTGTGGGGGGGTCATATACACTATCAGGACTACTGTTCACTTGATTCCTTCTAATGATAACTGTTTTTTTTTTTTTCTGCAAAATTCATCAAAGCCCTAGGCTGACTACTAGATATGCAGGTATTAGTTATTATCTGTGAGAAGCCCTCACTCTTACGTCTATCTGCTTTTAGGCTCATCACAGCGGACTTTGTAGGAATAAGAACTTGGTTGACTGAGTCACTGATCAGATTCTGGGCTAATGTGACTGCATGTCAGCTGGGGCCTCCCATACCCTCACCAGCTGGGCAGTGCTGGCTGGAGTACTGATCATTCCAGTTCTGGGGATGCCCAAAGGCCTCCCTTGGTTGTCCCCCTATTGCCTGAGGCTGCCCTTCTCACCGCTTCTTCCTCCGGAGTCCCTGTCCTGCAGGCGTGGGATCTGGACCACAGAGTTGCCTTTCAGACTACAGTCACAATGAGCACTCATGAATTAAATTGCCCTAACTGAAGATTTAGGGATCACAGAAAGAAGATTTGGGGGCCATAGGGAGGTGAGGCACAGCCTTGAAACTTCCTCTCCTGCTTCTTTATCCTCTTTTCTCCTTACCTTTCCTTCCAGAATTCCCTAAGAACTTTCCCTTCAGTGCATGGAAGGATTTAGCTGGGTTCCAAGACTCAGACTTGCAGAAACCCTAGTAAATAAGATGCTTATAGGACAAAGAGTCTTCCATTTTAATGCAGTTCTGCTTATACATTTATTATAAATATATATTACATACAATATATATGACGTGCAGCACGGAATGCATGATTATATGTACGATGTAATACATATGTAAAAATATTATAAATATAGTTATAAATAAACATCCTCTTTTTTCTTCTTACTACATTAGGAACACTTAACGGCAATCTGGGGATAAAAGGAGCTGCTGAGCTGAGAAAGAGACTGTTGAGTCTGAGTCTCATCAGACTCACGCATTGACTTGTGAAAAGCTGGTTGGAATTTACTTCCTAATTTATTCCACAGGTGTAGGGTGTTCAGAATCTGGCAGTAGGAATTACATAAATCATGCAGCTTTAGGAAAATCAGGACAAAACGGCTTTTCAAATCTTTATTAAGGGTTTCCTAAGATTATCATGAAATAATAAGCAACATGAAAGAGAGTGAAAGAGAGAACTCTCCAAAAAGTTTATTAGCCCACGCTGATTCACCTCTGCGAAGCAAAAGTCAGATTTGATTTCTACGCGTTTTGACCCTAAAAGAACTACACAGAAAACGTAAACGCGTCTACCGAGGAATCATGCAAAGCAACAACGATCATTGTCAGGAGACCGCGGGTTTGGAACAGGCTTTCCGTCTGGAAAGCTTTAACCCAGCGCATCCGTGGGGCGCTGGAGGAGGGCTGGGCCGCCGCCCCCGGCAGCGAGTGACCTTCTCGCGCAGCCCCCGCACTCCCCCCAACTCCGCGCGGGGGCCTGGGCGGTGGGGCGAGACGGACACGGCGCGCAGCGGCTGCCGAGCGCCCCTGGCCCGGGGCCCACCTC